AATAGTATTAATATAATAAAAAGGTAATTTTTTATTCAACGAAGACGATATTAATAATATAGTAATATGTTAATTTATTAAAAACAAACGTTTTATTTCAGTAAATATAAAATCAATACTTAATTCCGTAATCCGTATTTAAGTATTTATAGGTACAGATAAACGCAGTGTTGAAGATATTACCTATGTAATTTTATAAACTAGAATGAAGATAGTGTACGCAAGCTAAGCGATTGGCTTCAAATATAACGTAATAATTTGTCTTTATTGGACCTATGAAAGTTGTCCACCTGTTGAAACCTATTGGAATTACGCCAATGAATAATATCAGGTATTATAATAATAATATTATGGTTTGGTGACGAAAAACAAAAAACTCAGTGGTGCCACAGCCGTTAATTAGGCGACGTGCGAAACAATAAAACTTTTGATGCGAGTAAGTCATATAATCACTGCGTTTTTATGACCTAATATAAAACAATATATTATTCTAACACGGCCAAGCCGCCAAGGCACACGTTACTACGTTAGGTATATACATAAATATTGTTATTATTATTATGCCCGTTTGCGAATGTGAGAGAGTCGTTTTAGAGCTGCAGACGAGCAAAAAATCGTCACAGTGATGTGTTTGTTTTCCCTTTGTGGCAAATTGTCGGCGGGGAGCAATAACAAAAAAAAAATGTTAAAAGTTTATAAATAATAAATATACTTATATAAAATTGTATAGGTACACAATTTGTCCACACTGCACTTTCGATGGTACATCGAACACTGTAGAATTCGTACATCATTCGGTAACATTATATTTTCTATTTTTTCCATTTTAAATATCCATCTAATGTATGTTTAGTATTTTAACTTTGAGGTCTAACTATACGAGAAACCTGTCATCGTTCGCGTGGCTTGGTAAAAATAAAAGAAAACGAATTATCAGTTATTTATTATTACTTACACATGAACAAAATATTATCAGCATATTAACATATTAGTCTTATAAGCCATTGTTGAATTTTAAATTAAATTTTTTTTAAATTATAAATTGATTTTTACATTATTTTCCTGAAAATATTTTTACCATAGTTAAGAAATATTTGTATGCTTTAATCACGGTTTGTTGTTAATGTATAACGAGTTATAAGTACCTAATGGATATTGTGATATTATTAATTTGAAATTTATGATAGGTACCTAGTAGGTATTACCTACCTAATAAATAGGTCATTATTTTTTAAAATACCGTAAATATGTACTACCTACCTATATAATATGTCTTAAACCTACACTGACATACCGTCTCCACTCAGAATCGTTTTTCTTATACAATGATATTATATCATTGAATTCAAATTTAATACCATCAATCTTACAGTGACCTAATTGTAACCAACTGTACAGCAGAACACCTTTTTTTATTCGTTTATACTAATATTTTATAATATTAATATGATAATATAATAACGATAAGGCTAGGTAGATAATAATATACAACTTAAAAAAGTGATATTACATTATAAGGAAATTACATTAATTTTACTATTTTAGTTTGATCATGAATATGAATAATATTTTAATAATATGGTCCTATGGTATACAGGTGGTCATTATTTTTAGTGGAAATAGCAGTAAAGTTCTTAATAGTATACGGGCAGGACAGCTTATACTTTATAAGGACAAACCTTGTAATCAATCAAAATCAAACGATGTTTCAACAATTAAGTTCAATTATGTGAATTTCGATTGTCTTGTTTTTCCTAAAATCAAAAATCGTTTTACCAACGAGGAAAACTATGTTTTTCTTGACACAAATATTTACTGATTGGCCCAGTTGAATGCTCTGGCTGATTTACAAGGATTAGTATCTTTGTACAATGTACATACACGATAAGATGGAAATCGTATTATGCGAATGAGTGGAATTCCTATACTATTTCTCAACGGAGATTAAAAATTGTTAATGACAATATGAGGTAATTATATAAAAACTATAAAATATAAATTAACGGTAAGGTATTTAATTGTTCGATAAAACGTATTTTATTCGCATTTGGATGAACCTCAAACGCAATTTGGTTTCATACTCATTTCTAAAATCATTATTGACACCGTTGGTCAATAAATTACAACTATAGATTATAGGAAGAGCCGAATAAAGTGCTAGTAAATGGTTAAGTTCATCGGATCTAACTTTGTCGTTTGCAAAGGAATATTGCAATGGCGTAAAAATGGTAGTTGTTAAATTTGGTATTGCTATTAATTATTGCACAAGTGTTGTAGGTACCTACTGTTGTTTATGGAAAACTGATGATAGTGTATAATATTTTATTACAGTGAAAAGCCAATACCACCCACTCGTATACATGCCAGCATACAAATATTTCTTAACTATGGTAAAAATATTTTCAGGAAAATAATATAGTTGTCGAAACATTTTAAAAAAGTTGCGTAAATAATTAGGAAATATTTTAGTTATATTCTTTGGCCAAGAAGTTCATATTTATGAAAATATTTTTAAAAAACATTTACAAAACGTTTGAATCATATATTTTCAAAAAAAACATATTTATCGAAACTTTATAAAAATATCAATTCAACAGTTTTATGCAATCATATAGTACAATAATTTGTTATAATGAGAAGAAAATATTCATAAAATATTATTATTCAAATATTCATTATTCAAGCACTTTAAACTAATATTCACAAAATAATATAATTTCCCAAATGCTGTGTTTGTGGTTTAATTGTAGATCATAGGTACCTATTATATTTAAATATTATTAAGTAATATTAACAACAAACATCAAGACTAATCCAAGATTCAAATAAATTTGTAAAATGAAAACTAAAATGTCTTATGATCATATTAGGGTTTATTATTAAAATAATAAAACATTTAAATTTAAGTTTTAGTGCTTTTTTGAATGTTTTTGTTAAATTAATTAGGACAATAGGTACATACCTATTTTTAAAAAAAAATTAAGAGCATATTTGTATGTATATTTCGTCAGTTCTAGTGCATATTTAATTGTTTTTTAGTGCATTAAATGCACAATAAGTGTATAGTAAGTTGTTATTAGTAGGACAGTGAAGTTATTGCATTAAAAAACACACTAAATTGATTGCATTATTGCATTAAAATAAATTAAAAATTGCACTTATAAATTTAAAAATTGCATTGAAAAAATTTTAAAAAATTTAATTATAATCAATAAAATTAAATATATTAATACATAATAATAATAAAAATTAAATATGAACATTGCTTAAATTATTGCATTGCACTACAAATGATTTTTTTAAGTTTTCAAAATCGAATGATCAAATTTTTGTATCGGGAGGAACTTCAGTAGTTGTTATTGGCGCGTACTTGAAATAGATTAAATCGTTGCTGGCCAAGTCTTCTGGCAAGCCCTTCATTGACTATTTCTCCACTTAGAATTTTTGATATACTAAAAATTATTTGATATCCTTAATTTTTTTGTAAAATAGTTTTGAATTTCTGGTTTATTAATATTCCATTTTGTCCAGTAATTTTTTCTATTTTAGTTTCAACGTTTTTAACTATAGATAAAGCTTCGATTAATGGAACATGTTGGGTTTCGAGTTTAGTGATTTTTGCTGGTATGAAGCCATAATTGGAATGAATGAATGCCAAGTTGGTTTCCATAGAACTATCCGACAAAAGATGTTGAGCTTGTTCAATAGAAATAGCATCATTTGAATCTAATAATTGTATTACTTTTTTACTTCTACAAAATGTTCACAATAGTAGGATGTGCGGATGATTCTTGCATCCCCACTACTGTTAGGATTTTGGTATTTTTAAATATAACTGAATGCTGATAGACTATAATATACCTATGTTATTGAAGGACAAGTTTTTATCTTAACGACCAAAATGCAATAATCGCTCCATAGTAATAATAAGTAGGTACCTATTACAACTAATATAGAAATTTGTTCACTGCTACGTATAGTTACTTTTATTTTATATATTAAGTTATATAATCTTAAATGTAAACGAAAATTATGAAAAATAGTGAAACTTGCAGTAAAATTAAAAAAATCGCCAAAATTGCATTTATTGCAATATAATTTTTTTTGTTTAAATTAAGAGTTTAACGAAATATATTTTAAGCTCACTCAGCAATAAATATAACCATTTAAAAAAAACATGCAAATGCAACAACTTCACTGCCCTAGTTATTAGGTTGTTTAGTACATCACGATAAACTGGTTAGGTACCAGCTAATAGGTTAGGTGCAATAAAACCACAGAACATAAAATATTTTTCATTGAATAATTATCGTGTTTACTATGTTGGTAGATGTCGGTTTTCTGCCAATTATACCCATCGGCTATTGATAAGGTGACCTACCGACCTGGTCAGTGGCGTATTTACGGGGGGGGGGGGGGGGGTCCAGGGGTACTGGACCCCCCAGAACCTCTCATAAAAAAAAAAACACTACAATTTTTACATATTTGCAGAACCCGATTTATGTAACCAAGCGCGGTCGCGCGGAGATAGTTTTTTCCCGTGAACAAAATATAATAGTTTAAAATTAGTTACAACAGCTAAAACAGATAAATGTTCCTGCAGCATGGTTTTAAGTAATAAGAAGTATGGAACATTTATAGTAATGTTATTCTGACGACAGTTTTTCTAAGTTACGACTAAATACGAAGTGCGATAAGCCGATAAAATTAATAGGTATTAAGTACCCGTATCTTTGAAATATAAACTTTATCACACAGAAAAACTGATTATGGATGGATTTGTGTGTATAGCAATTAGCAATAGTTGTGTAGCCAATAGCCATATATGGATAGGTATAATAAAATATAAGTTAGTGGCTTTTATCTTTTTTAAGATATTACACATTTTCTATTAGTCTCATTTGCCTTCAACAACTATACGAGTAACGAGTGAACCAGTGAACAAGTGTTCATTGTATTTTTATCAATATTAAGTAAGTACACAATATATTGCTTTTACTATGTCTCAGCAAACTTCGTTAAGCCAATTTTTTAAAAAATCCAATGATACAAATGTTCTACAAGTTGACCATCACAAATCTTCAGTTTCCGTAAGTTCTCCAAATAAACGACCAATTTCACCAAATACAGATAATAATGTCAAACACTCAAACGTACCAAAATGTTAAAAAAATCTGACAATACTGAAACAGAAAATGAACATAATTTTAACAATTTCGATATTGGATTTTATTTTAATCGCTCGTTAACAGATGTAGAGAAAGAAGAAGTTCTTAAAAAAATTTGGAAGCCCGGAACTACTTTTGAATTCCCTAATACTGTTATATTTAGTGGTAAATATAAGCGATCCAAAAATTTAAAATTTCAATACAGATGGTTGCATACCTTTCCGTTGTTAGCGTACTCCGCAAAATTAGATGGTGCATTTTGTACATTTTGTGTAGCGTTTGCTAAATCAGGAGCTGGCATAAATTCTCAAACACTAGGCGCTTTGGTTAGAAAACCTTTTCAAAATTGGAAACATGCAATGGAAACGTTTAAAAATCATGTAACACTTCAGTATCACAAACAATCCGTCTTTGATGCAGATCATTTCATAGATATAAAAAAAAACGTACATTTATCTATTGAAAATCAATTAGACACTGCTCGGGCACTACACATTTTTGAAAATAGAATAAACATTTCACCTGTTATTGAAACAATTATCTTATGCGGTCGACAAAATATACTTCTACGAGGTCACCGTGATTTCGGAAAATTAACCGTTGATAATAATGATGTTAACGACGGAAATTTTCGTAATTTATTACGCTTTAGAGCTCGCGGTGATGCTTCGCTCAAATTACATCTTGAAAGTTCTGGTACTATAAAATATACAAGTCCTATTAGTCAAAATGCTATAATTGATTCATGCAATTCAATTTTACTCAATAAAATAGTAGCTAGAGTAAATGAAGCGAAATGTTTTACAGTTCTTGTCGATGAAACTGCAGATATAGCCGGTCTCGAACAAGTGTCTATTTGCGTTCGGTATATTGATTTAAAATCCTATGAATTACACGAAGATTTTCTACAATTTGTTCCAACTACTGATGCATCTGGAAAAGGTTTATCAAGACTTATACTTGACAATCTCAGAGAGTTTGGTATAGATACACAATATCTTCGGGACCAGGGGTATGACGGTGCAGCCGCGATGGCTGGGAAATATAATGGAGTTCAAGCTTATATAAAAAAAGAACATCCTTTAGCTTTATATGTACATTGCTCTGCGCATTCCTTGAATCTTGCTGTATCGGTATCATGTAACGTTTTCCAAATACGCAACTGTATGGGAACAATAGGAAAATTGAGAGACTTTTTTGTGTTTCCGAAACGAAAATCTGTACTGTCGAAAGCTATTGAAATGTCAGAAAATAATATTTCTAAAAAATCACTGAAGAGAAATTGTGAAACTAGGTGGATTGAAAGGTATCATTCAGTTAGTGATTTTTTAGAACTGTTTGAATGTGTAGAAGAAGCTCTTGAAGAAATTTTCGAGTGGGATCATACAGACACGTCAAATCAAGCTAGCGCTTTTCGAAATTCAATTCTCCAACCAGAATTTATAATTACGGTAGTTACTGTTGGAATTATAAACAAAACACCCTATATAATGTAGTGTATAAGTAATATATTCACACTGTAGTTCAGCAGACGCTGACTGTACATTTTTATAATACTACAGCATAAATGTCTTGTGTAGTGTAGCCGGGTATACATATTACATAGTTAGTCGTTGATTTATATTACGCCTCGTAACACTATTGTACATCGTATCATTATACTTATTATTATATTATATATATATCCGATTTTATTATTATTTACCTTTAACTTCTGTATATCTGTGTACTTCAACAGGTTATGGGCCCAGTAGTAAGGTCTTTATAATAAAGTTGTGAATAGTTATTAAAATAATAATTGATTAACGAATTGCGTGTTTTTTGTGTACAGACAGTGTACATCAATAATAATTCGCGAAGTAAGTGCAGTGTAGTGTGAGTGCGTTTCTTAGTGTGCAGATAGTGTACATTTACGTTTTTTAAATATGGAGAACGAACAATATAAAATCAACAAACTCAAAGATGCATCAAATTGGGACATGTGGAAATTTCAAATGAAGGTTATCATGAATGCAGCTGAAATATTTGATGTAGTAACAGGAAAATCAAAGAAACCAATTTTAGCAAAGATCGGTAATGAAACTGAAGATGAAGCGAGAAAAAGGCATAGCGTTGATTTTTCAATATGGAAAAGGGCAGATAATAAGGCTCAAAAATATATCGTCACGTCGTTAGATGAACAACCTCTACAATACATTATGAACTGTGACACAGCAAATGGTATGTGGAACAAATTACTTAGTGTGTACGAACAGATGTCGGACACAAGCATAACAATAGTACAACAAAAGTTCTATCGTTATACAATGGATCCAAAAGACAATATAGCAGGTCATATTTCAAAATTAGAAAATCTAAGTAGACAACTAAAACAATTGGGAGAACCTATCTCAGAATCAATGTTGATTACAAAAATTTTGATGACATTACCTGATAGCTATAGGCACTTCTACAGTGCATGGGACTCAATGAATAGTGCAAATAGAACGCTAGAACAGTTAACCACTCGATTGATGGTGGAAGAAACACGACAAGTGCAAGGACAGGAGGTCCGTGATGATGTTGCTGAAAGTAGTGCTTTGACTGCAACCAAAGGCAAGTATAATAAAAGTCAAAAATACGTGAACAAAAATGATAATACAAAACCAGGAAAATGCAATCACTGTAAAAAACCAGGACATTGGAAAAGGGACTGCAGGATATTCAAAAAGGAACAAGAAGAAAAGAAATCAACTTCCGGTTTGGCGCTTATTGGTGTACAAAGAAAAAATGAAGAAATCGACGACTCGGACAAATGGTATGTAGACTCAGGGGCGAGCGACCACATGACAAATCGAAAAGAGTGGTTCGTCGATTATAAACATTTTGATGTGCATTCGCTTGTACGTATTGGAGATGGTAAGCACATTATGGCAGTCGGAAAAGGTAACATAAATATTCATACTTATGTTGACAATAAGTGGATAAAAGGCTACTTAGAAAATGTTTTATATGTACCTGATCTAAAGGTAAATTTATTTTCTTGTGGGGCATGCCTTGATAAAGGAATTACAATGGTGACAGACAGTAAAGGTTGCTCATTTAAAATTAATAATCGTGTAATTGCAGTCGGTGTTCGTGAGAATAAATTGTTTACAATGCTAATCAAAACAGATATTTCACAGGAAATTGGACACTGTGCTAACGTTGCAGTTAAGAAATTAACATTAGAACACTGGCACAAAATACTATGTCATCAGAATGTCAAACATGTTCGTGAGTATTTAAAACACAATGAAATACAATTTACAGATATACAAGGACAGTTATTCTGTGAACCATGCATCTATGGCAAACAGCATAAGGAGACGTTCACTCAGAGCGAAACAATAACTACTGAACCAGGGCAAATAATACACAGCGACGTATGTGGACCCATGGAAGAGAATTCACTAGGAGGTAAAAGATATTTCATTATATTTAAAGATGATTATTCTAAATATACTTATGTCTATTTTATGAAACATAAATCTGAGGTTAAAGAAAAACTTAATTGTTTTCTGAGTATGGTTAAAACTCAAACAAAATACGTTATTAAAACTATTAGAAGTGACTGTGGATTAGAGTATAAGAATTTCGAAGTTCAATCAATTCTAAATCATCTAGGTATAAAGCATGAAACAAGTGTACCTTATACTCCTGAACAAAATGGAAAAGCTGAACGTTCAATGAGGACTATTTGTGAGGCAGCCAGAACAATGATATATGCCAAGAATTTTCCAAAATCACTGTGGGCAGAAGCAGTCAATACAGTAGTGTTCTCATTAAATTATACTGGTAATTCAGGGAAAGTATGTAAAACTCCATACGAGTTATGGTTTGATAAACTTCCTAAAATAGAAAAGTTCGTAGAATTTGGAATAAATGCATATAGTTTAGTTCCAAAACAACGACGAAAGAAGTGGGATGCAAAAAGTCGAAAAGGATACTTTGTTGGATATTCAGAAACTTCAAAAGGGTATCGTATTTGGTATAAAGAAAATAACGAGGTGTCACTTAGTAGAGACGTCATTTTCAAGGATGAAAATGTTGTAAATTACCAACTTGTAGAATGTTCTAATAACTTAAATGATAATAATAACATTGATGTTCTTAGCTTACACAAAGACGGCTCATTAGAACACAGCAATAAACCAGAAGGAGATGAAGTCATAGAAAATGAATATGGACCAATAAGTGTAGATGACAATGAAAATCAAGAACTTGAACAAGGAAATGGGTCAAATGTCAACGTGTACAACTTGCGAGACAGAAGTAATATTAAGAAACCATTACGTTATGATAATTCAGCATTTTTCGTAGTCGAATCCGATCCAGTGAATTTCAAGGAAGCTGTGGAGTCACAAAATTCAGAAAAATGGGTGGAAGCCATGAACAATGAAATGGAATCTCTTGAACAAAACGGAACATGGTCTCTCGTAAAGTTACCTAAGGACAGAACTATTGTAAATTGTGGTTGGGTGTATAAAACAAAATACAATGTTCATGGACATGTTGATCGATACAAGGCTAGGCTAGTAGCAAAAGGGTATAGTCAAATATTCGGTATTGATTTTAATGAAACTTTTAGTCCTGTAGTAAAGTTCGATTCAATTCGGTCTATATTAGCTATATCAGCAGCAGAACAATTACAACTTCGACAATTTGATGTTCAAACAGCGTTTTTATATGGAGATTTGGACGAAGAAATTTACATGAGACAACCAGAAGGGTTCAACGATGGTACTGAAATGGTGTGCAGACTTCAACGCAGTTTATATGGTCTAAAGCAGTCACCACGATGTTGGAACATAAAGTTCAAAACATTTCTTCTTAACTTTAATCTATTAGAAACAAAAGCAGATCCCTGTGTTTTTGTTAATAGAGAAAATAACAAAGTATTAATCGTCGCTATATTTGTTGATGATGGTCTAGTTGCAGCTACATCGAGTGAGGATGTAAATGCATTAATGGAATATTTGAGACAACATTTCAATATTACTGAAGGAGAATTGAATCAATTTTTGGGTACAGAAATTGTGCAAAAATCTGATGGATCAATTGTAATGCACCAAGGGTTGTATTGTAAAAGAATATTGGAGAAGTTCAATATGACTGAAGCAAATCCAGTTCAAATACCAGCAGACCCTCAACATTCATTAGATGACAAGCAACAAAACACCAATCTAACTAGTAAAGTCCCATATCGTGAAGCAGTCGGAAGCTTATTATATCTCAGTCAGATTACAAGACCGGACATAACTTTTTCAGTAAATCTAGTTAGTAGATACATCGAGGATCCAAAGGAACAACACTGGACAGCAGTGAAACGAATTTTAAAATATTTAAAGGGAACTATTAATTTTGGATTGATATTTAGTTCTAGACAAAAACTCATGTTAAAGGGATACAGTGATGCTGACTATGCAGGTGACTTGGATACAAGAAGGTCAACATCAGGGTCAGTATTTACATTAGGATCTGGAAGTATAGCATGGAGTTCACGTCGTCAACAGTGTGTTAGCCTTAGCACAACTGAATCAGAGTACATAGCTTTAAGTCAAGCAGTACAAGAATTAACTTGGTTAAAATTGTTTTTAGGTGAATTGCTGGACCAGCCAAAAATGGTGCCAACAATGTATGGAGACAATCAAAGTGCGATTAAACTCGTAAAAAATCCAGAGTTTCATAGAAGAACGAAGCACATTGATGTTCGCTACCACTATATAAGAGAAAAGTTCAATGAGGGATTGTTTTCATTGGAGTACATATCCAGCAAGGAGCAGATTGCGGACATTATGACAAAGCCAACTCCACGAACGCGGTTCAATGAGCTAAGGGAGATGTTAGGAGTTATAAGTATTGATGTATAAGGGTATATTGTTTAAGGGAAAGTGTTGGAATTATAAACAAAACACCCTATATAATGTAGTGTATAAGTAATATATTCACACTGTAGTTCAGCAGACGCTGACTGTACATTTTTATAATACTACAGCATAAATGTCTTGTGTAGTGTAGCCGGGTATACATATTACATAGTTAGTCGTTGATTTATATTACGCCTCGTAACACTATTGTACATCGTATCATTATACTTATTATTATACTATATATATATCCGATTTTATTATTATTTACCTTTAACTTCTGTATATCTGTGTACTTCAACAGTTACAATTTCAAAAGTATTTGGATTCGGACTCCCACTATCAAAACAGTTTCAACAAATTAATATTGATTTAAAATTGGCCATGGATTTAGCTCAAGATACTTTGATCGAGTTAGAAGATTATAGAAATCACGCTCAGAAAAATTTTGAAGTCATTTTTTTAGCCGCCAAAAAAATTGCTGACAAGTTCAATGTGACAATGACAATTCCGAGAATTAATAAAAGACAAGTACATAGAATAAACGTACAAACTAATAATCCTGAAGAATATTTTCGCATATCGGTTTTTATTCCATACTTAGACTCTTTTATAAGTCAATTAAAATCTAGATTTCTTAATCATATTGATATTTTGTCAAGTTTTCACTCTCTTTTCGACGAGAATTCTACAAAAGAAGAATTCAAAAAATTAGCTGTATTTTATGAAGAAGATTTAAATGGTAATAATTCAATAATAGAAGAGTTCCAACTGTGGCAAAGGAAACTTAAAAAATTGGAAATAAAACCAAAAAATTCAATCGATGCACTGAAGTTGTGTAATGCAGACATATATCCTGGAGTTAATAAGTTATTTCAAATTTTTTCTACACTTCCTATATCTACGGCTTCAAACGAACGGATTTTTTCATCACTAAAACGAATTAAAACATATCTACGAAATACAATATCTGAGGTAATAAAATATTATTAAGACATTTTAATTTTAAAACTAATATTTGTGGTTGTTTTGTTTTAGAAAAGACTTAACGGATTGGCTATGTTAAATATTCACAGGGATGTTGAAATCACTGTTGATGAAGTGATAGAGGACTTGGCAAAAAAATCTAGACGACTGGAATTTATTTTATAACAATGCTTTTCATATGTAGTGCTAAATACAATAAATATATATATATAATATTACATAAGACTTAGACTATACTATTATATATTTTATTCAACTTCCTCCAAAAACTTCATAAGGACGTAACTATTACAAGATATCATAGTTTATATTAATTATGTATAAACTGAGGACCCCCCCCCAGAAAAATTTGAAAATACGCCACTGGACCTGGTAACACATTGAAACGACTAGAAAAACACTAATCTGTAGCTCTCGAAAGTCGAAACATTGATAAATACTAATTATTATTATAGTGAACCAAATTTATACACGTATGGTAATACGGTTAGGTTAGGGTTACACATATTCTGTGATATAGGTATAAAATAGTATACAATTATTCATATAGTACATAGCTACAATATTATCGTAGTATCATTTTTTACAGCTGTTTTATGTATTTTTTTTATAGTCGCTTCGTAAGTCGATTTGAAAACGAATGGATCTTCGCAGGAAAAAATGTTTTGTGTCCGTATATAATATTGCCTACATTACATTATAATATTATATTTTATTATATTAATTATAATTAAAATAGTTAAATACATTTATAGTTAATAAATTTAATAATACACAATTCGAAAAAAAAAAATATTCGTATTTGAAAGCGTTCTATCATAATGTGTGTAAATATCTGCAGCGAGCCAATACACCGCCACAATACTCCCTCTCATCGATTACACTGTTTGGTTGGCACCACCGCCCGGCCGCGTACAGCGTCTCGGTGGCCCGAGCCGGTTCTTTGTTCATTTCCGTTAACGTCCACGTGTACGCATCGCGACCCAGCTCCCTCCTCCCCCGCTTTTTACGTCACTGTTCAATAGTCCGCTCTACTGTTGAGAACAGCGACCATTTAATACGACGAACAAGTCGCCCGCTCCCTTCAACCGAAGCCCTACGCTAACGACCAAGTGCAAATCGCCATTTTGTATAGGTATTGTTAATAATTCGACATTTCATTTGTGCCTCAATAAATCTTAACTCTTGACTCGAGATTTGTAAATCCTAATATTCAATTCACTGCGAGCGTTGTCACATGACAAACTTATAATAGTACATTGTGATTTGCAATCAAACAATATGCATTATAATAGTTTAATTACCAATGCATTCGTTATTTGCTCTATTCTCCTATTCTCCGTACCACAATCGTTCAACCAAAATGTGGGACCAACTGTAAAAATGACCAATGGACAAGTGTGGCCGAAACCTGCGCTGCAACACATCTACGACGAGTACTTGACATTTGAACCAGAAAATTTTAATTTCAATGTAAGACACACAAATAACTAAAACATGTATTTTAAATTTTTTTAACCAATTTTTTTTAATAAAAGGTATATTTTAAATAATGTTATGTATACTATCCTGCATGTTATAATATTTTAATAATTATATAATTTTTATTTATTTTATAATTATATATAATTAATTAATAGTATTAAATTTAACATCATCAGTAAGAACAATTTTTTTTTTAGAATACAGGTTATAGTTGTGACGTCCTTCAAGATGCATTCAAATGGTATAATTCTATGCTGTTTTTAAAAGCTACGAACACATTTAAACAAAACACTAGTTTATCTACGGACTCAATCATTGGCAAGATGGAAGTGCTCAATGTGCAGCTGACAAATCCCTGTGAAAATTATCCTTCGTTAAATATGGAAGAAAAATGTAGAGTACTTTTTATAATTTCTTAATACCTCTCTTATTGTAATAAGAACGAAAATACAATTTGGATTTTTTTTTGTACAGACGAAATCAAAATAAACAATTCCAGTGGACTTCTAGTTGCAACGTCTATTTGGGGTATTCTCAGAGGTCTAGAAACATTTTCTCAGTTGGTTTATTTGGAAACGGACGGTTCGACGGTAATATTTTAGACATTTTAACACAAAATTTAATCACAATAATATTATATTGTAATACCTATACACAGTTTGTGATTCGGCGAACGACAATAGTGGACTATCCGAAATTCAGACACCGTGGATTCCTATTAGATACGTCTCGTCATTATTTCCCCATCGAATCAATCACGAAAACTCTAGACGCCATGTCGTATTCGAAAATGAACGTGTTTCACTGGCACATGGTAGACGACCAGAGCTTCCCGTATCAGAGTAGCGCTTTTCCGAATCTGAGGTCTGAAACTTATAACTTGCCTAATCAATAACTTGTGGTACAACTATACACAGTATAGAAATGTACCTATTTTTTATTATTTTTTTTTTCAACAATTAAAAAATATATTGACGACAGTCAGCGCTGTCCTTATTTGACATAATTTTTATATTTACATATTATTATTATGTATAGCGAAAAAGGAGCTTTCGGGAAATCGGCCATTTATACCAAAGATGACGTCAGACGTGTGATCGAACACGCAAAACTTCGAGGTATTCGTGTAATTCCAGAATTCGACACTCCAGGTAAGTACGGACACAACAGAACCAGTAATAATAAAATAATCTGTAATGCGTATTATACCTACATACATTTTATTATTTCAATATTAGTACTTATCGGCTATCAGGGCTTGCAATTACGTTATAATGTCGTTATGATTATAACGATATATTTGATAAAAAAAAAAGGTTGAAATTTGTAAACGCACAAATCGATAATCAAAAATAATTAAATACCGCAAAACAAAACATAACAATTAACAAAATATATTATTTATCAAAACATAAAGTAAAACGTAATTCTTATAGAATATCATTAAACGAAAAATAACGCAAAACGTATAATTTATAAAGTATCATTGAACGAAAAATAACGAAAAACGAAATATTTTAAAATCTGTTTATACAAAAGGTCTATTGGTTTCGTAGAAACATTTATTTCATGCGAACCATCTAAGAATTGATTATACTATATTCCATATTCTGGTCATAACCTATCAGCATTAAGTTAATTTTAAATTTAATAGGTATTAACACTATTTTAAATAACGATAAACGCAAAACTTGTGTAACGTTTTACTTGTTAATAACATAAAAAGGAATTTTTTTCAAATACAAGCCCTGATATCTATATATTAAAAAAACACCGAGCAGACGTTTTATTTTTGAAATATTATATGAATGGCAATTTGTTAAAAGGGACCCATGTACATTTTCAACTACTTTTCAGGAGAAACAAAAAACAGTTTTCCTTTATTTCATAAGATCAATCATCACAATTTAGATTAAATAGTACTGTATAAAAATAAATAGCAAAAAAAAAATTATTTAAAAAAAATTTGTAAGTAGGTACTTTTATAAATAACGCTTTTTTGTTATGTGTCATGTTATGAAAATTTAAACGAACTCTAATAATTTTATTAATTCAAGGTATCATAATTTAATATATTAGTCACATTTTAAAATAATACAATAAATTCTTGTTTATTTTATTCAATTAAATAGATAACAATGCAACTAAATAACAAACTTTGAATAAAAATCTTAAAAAAGTCTTTGCTGTACAGTATGTTACAAGTGGGTCACTGTATAATGGAAGGTATTATATTTGAATTCAATGATAAATATCATTGTATAAGAAAAACGATTCTGAGTGGAGACGGTATGTCAGTGTAGGTTTAAGACATATTATATAGGCAGTATTCTAGGTATAAGACATATTATATACTTATCTATGGTATTAAAAAAATTGATCTATAATAGGTACCTATAATAAATTCCAAATTAATCATATCACAATATCCATTAGGTACTTATAAAGCGTTATACATCAAAAACAAACCCTGATACTATCATAGATATGTAATAGTGTATTTTAGAAGTTTCAAGTACCCACGAATAATATTATACAATCACAACAAAATAACTAAAATAGTTATTCAAGGTTTTTTATTATGTAATTTCGTCCAAATTTGAATTAAAATGACTATAAAAATAAACTGTGCTTATATATTTTTTAGATTTTTTAGTTACAGAATTAACTACTTACGTGGAATCTTGTTTTAAATTTTTAATCCTTAGATATAAAATTTAAACATTTTATAAATTTTTGATTACAAAAAAATTCAATTTTAAATTTGATAAATTTTGTCAAAATTTGATCTTTAAATGGTTATAAAAAAAAATTGTGTCTATTTATTTTTAATATTTTTCAACTGATATTGTATTAATAGATCAGAAGCCTTGTATTAAATTTTTACACTTTTTGGAACAACAGATAAAACTTAATTGATATTTATAGAAAAAAAAACTAAAAAAATTGAAATCTGTAAATGTAAGTAAACAGCTTAAAAAGAGTCAAAATATTTTCAAAATTGTATGGTGTATAGGAAAAGTTAATATAAACATTCAGTGAAATTTTTCGACTACTGATCGTGTACACAGACACAATTAAAACAAAAAATAAAAAAATAAAAAAAGACACATCATTTTAAATCAATACATTCATCGTTCCACTCAGAATATATAAAACAATATTTTTTTATTAAAATTAAAAAAAAAAAGAAAAACTTATGTACCTAATTTTATAGAAACTGTCTTTGATTTACAAAAACTATGTGTTTACATATAAGAGGATGAATAATATACAACAAAACTATTTTTTGTCAAAAATGTAATTTGGGTCTCTCTTAACAATTTCCCATTCATATATAAATACTGATATATTATATATTTTACAGTACGATCTTATTTATATTTCAGGACATACGTTATCTTGGGGACTCGGTGGCATTCCGGGACTACTAACTGAGTGTTCGGATTCCGATACAAATCAATTTGGGCCTATCGACCCGACGGTCGAGAAAAACTACAATTTTATCAGGACGCTATTGTCTGAAGTCAGTGAATTATTCCAAGACAATTATTTACACCTCGGTGGCGACGAAGTAGATAGTTCTTGTTGGTAATGACAATTTATGGTTTTTGTGTATTATTACAATTTACAATATAATATTTCAACGTATATAAGTCAGGCTCTGGTTTAATGGAGGA